GTGGCAAATGGACTCTAACTTCCCTTTTCTTCAGAAGTTCTGCATTCCTGCTTGTTTAGGTGGTTGCAGAACTTAGCAGTCAGAAGAGCTTAAGGGAGAAAACTGGTGATGGGGAGCACTGGGTGTGATATGTAAGTGATGAATCAGTAAGTTCTACTCCTGAAAGCAATATTACACTGTATGTTTAACTAGAATTTAAATAACAATCTGGGAGTCTGGGAAATAGGATTTAAAAACCCTTAAATTCTTAGTAAAGTCAAATTTCATGGACATCTTTAAGGCTCAGAAGCAATTAAGTTATTAAAAATCGGGGGAAAAAAGGAAAGCTAATGGTGAATTTTCTTAAATATCTGACTTTGTGGTCTTACCCTTGCACTTTTTGTTGAGGAGTTCTTGGAAAAGACCTAGATCTCTGCATACCTAAAAAAATCCTTAAGCATTCAAGCAGTCAGTTGACTAATTTTTGAAATATGTTCTACACCCATATATAATGAATGTCCTTTCTTCTTTGCTGAACAAAGAGCTGGGAATGTGTTCTGTAAGAGCAGAGCAGATCATGTTCTGTTTTTCTTCATAAATGGAAATTCTTCTTGAACTGAATATCATCTCTGTTTTGGAAGAAGAGAAAGAGCCCCGGACTGTGGATAGTGAAGTGAATATGGGGAGACATCCAGACAAGTGGGAATGTATTGGGATGTGAGCACAAGTCAGAGCTCAGATGGGCACAGAATAAATTGTTCCCAAATTGTTTGGGAAAGATCTGTGGAAAAATGCAAGTTCATTCCTTAGGAGCTGTCAAAGGAAATCCTCCTGCATCCCACACACACTTCTTATCTGTCATTCCAATGAGTAAGTCAAATGTGTACGAGTGTAAACTCCCACTGTTAGGACCTATACCACGTTTACCTGGCCCCTCCAACCATACTGGTTCGAGGTTTGAGAGGGGCTGGGATGGCTGTCCCTACAGAGTCTTTCCCCTGATCTCTCATGGTTCTCATTCCATACAGGTCAGAGCTGAAGTGTCTGTAGCGCAAACCCAGGACCTATTCACTTTCCATTCTCATTTTGTATCCTTGAGAGGAAACAAACAAAATGTAATAACTGTCTAATAAAGTAGAGCTAAGGCCTATCTATTTCTTTCTTGGGCTATCCTGGCTTCTTGAGGTTGGGTACCTGTGCATTAATTAGGAGGAAGTCATGATGTGGATAATTCCAAAAAGTGAAAATCAAAATTAGATGTAGGTTAAATAAAGCACAGCTTACTGATATCTCTAGTTAGCTTTTCTGTAGGAAAAACATGAATTATTCCACAGATGTGTATTATATTCTTGGTATATGGAATTTCATTTATACCCAGCATGGGGTTTGAACTCACAACCCCAAGGTCAAGGGTTGCATGTTCTATGGACTGAGCCAGCCAGGCATCCATCTTTATTTTTTTAAACAGTTTGATTACCGTCACCTATTTCTGCCACTTTCTCTTCAACTACCTGCCTCTAGCAACCACCCATATGCTTCTGTATATAAGAGGGGTTATTTTGTTTAAGATTTCACATATAAGAGAAATCATACTGTATTGGTCTTTGACTCATTCCTCTTAGCATAATACTCTCAGGGTCCATCCATGGCTGTCACAAACGGCAAGATTCTATTCTTTTTTATGGCTGGATAATATTGTGTTGTATATACACATCTTTATCCTTTCATCCACACATCAGTGGACACATAGACTGTTTCTGAATCTCAGCTATTGTAAATAATGCTTCAGTGAACATCAGAACGCTTCTATCTTCTTGAGTTACTATTTTTGTTAAGTATTCAGAAGAATTGATAGATCACACAGTAGCTATCTTGGCTATACCAATTTTGGCTCCACCAACAGTGTACAAATTCTCCATCCTATCACCAGCACTTGTTATTTCTTGTATTTTTGATAACTGCCATTCTAAAAGGTGTGAAGTGATATCTCATTGTGATTTTGATTTGCATTTCCCTGATGATGAATGATGTTGGGCATCTTTTCATGGTCTTGTTGGTCATCTCTAGATCATTGGAAAATGTCTATTCAGATCTTCTGCCCATTTCTTAAATTAGATTATTTGAGTATCTTTTCACCATGTTTTGGATTATTAGCCCCTTATCAGATACATGCTTTGCTAATATTTTCTCCTATTCAGGAAGATGCCTATTCATGTTGTTAAAAAAATGTTTCCTTTGCCGTGCATACAGTTTTTAGTTTGATGTAGTCCCACTTACTTTTGCTTTTGTTGATTTTTCTTTTGGTGTCAAAGTCATAAAACAAAACACAACAAAAACAAGCATCATTGCCCAGACCTGTGTCAAGGAGCTCATTATGCCCTATCTTATAGGAATGTTATAGTTTCACGTCTTAGGTTTAAATCTTTAATCCATTCTGAGTTAAGTTTTGTGTATGGTATCAGAAAGTGGTCCAATTTCAATCTTTTGCCTGTGGGAGTCCAGTTTTCCCAAACTTCTATTAAAGATACTGTGCTTTCCCCATCATATAGTCACATCTCCTTTGTTGTAAATTAATTGACCATGTGTGTGAGTTTATTTCTGGGCTCTATTCTGTTGATCTATGTGTCTGTTAGATTTTTGTTAAAATCAAACTGTTTTAATTACCACAGATGTGTAGTCAGGAAGTTTGAAATCAGAGAACATGATGCCTCCTCCTTTGTTCTTCTTTCTCAAGATGCTTTGGGCATTTGGGGTCATTTGTGGTTCCATACAAATTTTAGGATTTTTCTATTTCATGTGTAGGTTTTTATATAGATATAAATTTTCAACTTATTTGTGTAAATACCAAAGAATGAGATTGCTAGGTCATATTTAAGAGTATGTTTAGTTTTGTAAGAAAGTGCAGCCTGTCTTCCAAAGTGGTGTCCAACATTCCCACCAGCAATGAATGAGAGTTCTTATTGCTCCACATTCTCATGAGTATTTGGTGTTAATATTCTGGATTTTGGCCATTCTCATAAATGTGTAGTGATATCTCATTGTTGTTACACATATTTACCTCAATTAAACTTATGTCTTTTTTTAAAAATGTTTATTTTTGAGAGAGAGAGAGAGAGCATGAGTTGGGTAGGGACAGACAGAGAGAGACAGAATCCGAAGCACGCTCCAGAGAGAGAGAGAGAGAGAGAGAGAGAGAGAGAGAGAGAGAGCATGAGTTGGATAGGGACAGACAGAGAGAGAGAGACAGAATCCGAAGCAGGCTCCAGGCTTTGACCTGTCAGCATAGAGCCCAAAGCGGGGTTCGAATCTATAAACTGTGCAATCATGAGCTGAGTCAAAGTTGGACACTTAACTGACTGAGCCACCCAGGTGCCCTATGGCATTCTATAAACTATTTGTGATATCTTAAGAACATACTTGTTTTTAAAGTTTCTGCTTTAGTCACGAATATCATTAACTTGATTTGCCATAGCTTTTTATATAATGATACATTAATTTGGGGTGCTTGGGTAGCTCAGTCGATTAAGCATCTGACTCTGGATTTGGCTGAGGTCATGATCTCACAGTTTGTGAGTTCAAGTCACACATTGTGCAGTGTGCTTACAGTGTGGAGACTGTCTGGGATTCTGTCTGTCTCTCTTTCCCCTGCCTCTCCCCATTGGCAAGATCCCTCTTGCTCTCTTAAGTAAATGAACTTAAAAAAAAATTCTTGTATATGTCTAGTGGAACATGTATATATTACATAATTCTTTTGAGTATATACCTAGAAATGGAATTCATGGGACATTTAGTTTTATAATTTTTAGAGGAAATACTGTCCTGTAACACCATACTGTCTCCCTTTTGAATGTTTTCCATTGTTACATCATACCATAGTATAAGTTCTTACAGAATGAGTTACTATTATGCCTCTTGCTAAATCAGTTCCTTTTTCTAAAGTAGGGCATTTTTTTTATAAAAATTTTTTTTTAATGTTTTATTTATTTCTGAGAGACAGAGAGTCAGGATGAGCAGGGGAGGGCCAGAGAGAGAGGAAGACACAGAATCTGAAACAGACTCCAGGCTCTGAGCTGTCAGCACAGAGCCCGACACGGGGCTCAAACCCACGAACAGTGAGATCACAACCTGAGCTGAAGTTGGACGCTTAACTGACTGAGCCACCCAGGCACCCCTAAAGTCAGGCTTTTAACTTATAACAGAGTCATATTCCCAAAGATGTGCAAATACAAGCACTATCCCCGCATTTATAAAAAGAAAACTTAAAAACATTGTATCTAACAGTAGTGTTTGAAGACCATGGTTGAGAAACTTCCTTTGTTCATTATAAAGTATTATTTGGGTGTGTAATTATGGAATTTAGTATAAAATATTTACCTTCCAACTCTATTTGATAGGAAGCCCTTCTGATGGATTTCCAATCAAGGAATTACCAACAGAAGACATTAATAAAGGAGACTTTTGCCACTTAGTGATATTGGAAAGAAATGGAAGTCATGACATCAAGGATTTTGATCTCAGGGAAGTCTGGGAAAATATCCATGAGTTTGAAAGTCAGTGGGGATATAAAGCAAATTATAAAGAAGTGCCTTTAACCCATTACAAAAATTTCACTTGTAGAAAAGATCAACAGCTTAATCAATCCTCAGTTACTCTTCCTCAAAAGCAGAGTGTTTCTGTGAGAAATAATACATACCAGTATTTCATGGATGATGAGCCATTTATGAGGAATTTGTTAAAACTGGACAATAACCTGAGTGGTGCTGGAAACCAATACATAAACTGCTTGGAAAATACAATTGGATTAAGTTTGCAGGCACACCTGGCAGAACAGCAGAGATTTCACAGTGAGGAGAAAATGTATGAATGTAATCCAATTGAGAAGTGTGTCAGCAATGGTTCTTCAATCTCACCACTTGAAAGAATTCCTCCCAGTACCAAAAATATTTGGAATAAATCTAGGAAGATTTTTAAATATCCTTTGTTACCTGCACAAGACAGAAGAGCATGCACTAGAGGACTATCTTACAAATGTAATGACTGTGGGAAGGCTTTTAGCAAAAGCTCAAACCTCATGAGTCATGAGAGAATTCATTCTGGACAGAGACCTTACAAATGTAATGACTGTGGCAAAGCCTTTATGGAGCACTCACATCTTACTCGACATAAGAAGACCCATACTGGGGAGAAACCTTACAAATGTAATGATTGTGGCAAAGCCTTTGCTGAGCGTTCAGGCCTTAGTCAGCATGAGAAAATCCATACTGGAGAGAAACCTTACAAATGTAATGAGTGTGGCAAAGCTTTTAAGCAGTGCTCACACCTCATTAGACATCAGGATACACATCCTGGAGAGAAACCACACAAATGTGATGTGTGTGGCAAGGCTTTTATCCAAAGCTATAACCTTATAGAACATCAGAGGACCCATACAGGAGAAAAACCGTATAAATGTAGAAAATGTGATAAAGCTTTTAGCAGACGTTCAAACCTTTGGGGTCATGAGAGAACTCATACTGGAGAGAAACCTTACAAATGTAATGAATGTGGCAAAGCCTTTACCAAATTTTCAAATCTTACAATACATCAGAAAATACATACTGGAGAGAAACCATACAAATGTAATGTGTGTGACAAGGCTTTTATCCAAAGTTCAAACCTTATTGACCACCAGAGAATTCATACAGGAGAAAAACCTTATAAATGTAATAAGTGTGATAAGACTTTTATCAAACGTTCACACCTTTCGGGTCATGAGATAACTCATACTGGAGAGAAACCGTACAAATGTAATGAGTGTGGCAAAGACTTTACGGAACGTTCACATCTTACCCAGCATAAGAAAATCCATACTGGAGAGAAACCTTATAGATGTAATGAGTGTGGCAAAGCTTTTACCCAATTTGCAAACCTTACTAGGCATCAGAAAATACATAATGAAAAGAAAGAGTATAAACCTAATATATATGGTAGTGCTTTTTTTCAAAGCTCATCTCTTTGATGATCTCTTTGGGGATCATCAAAGAACTCAAAGGAGAAAGAAACCTTGCACATAAAATGGCAAGTGTTCAGGCATTACTTAGCATCAGAGATTCCATCATCGAGAAGAACCATATGAAACTAACATTTGTGGCAAAGCTTGTAACCAGGGCTCAGACCTCCCCTTATATCAGAATATAAATCTCTGAAAGAAAGCACACAAATGGAATGTGTGGCAAGGCTTATCCAAAGCTTATTTTACCTTGTGGAACACAATTCTTCCTAGAGAGAAACCTTACAAATGGAATGAGTGTGATCAGCCTTATAAAAATGTACAACTTTGGGGAGGGGGATAAAATAGGTGAATGGGATTAAGAGGTAAAGATTTTCCAGTGATAAAAAAAAAATACAAAGTATACAACTTTGTAATTTGTGGTCTTGAAAGCATTCACAGAAGATGGAAGTCATGCAAATGTGTCAAGGTCTTCACCTCAGGAAACACCAAAGAATTCATACTGGACAGAAACATTACACGTGTAATGAAGGTGATTGTTTGTTTAGCCAGTTCTCTCAGTGGACTAACAATAAGAAAATTCACACTCAGGGGAAGTAGTTTTGTTTGGAGGATCAACCAATCTTAGGTGTTAAATTCCACAGAAAATTAGAAAATTATTTAAAACTCAGGAGATGATGTGTGTCAATGGAACAAGTGTATCTGTGGAAAGATCATCTTCGTTTAAACCTTTTTTAAAGGTTTTATTTTCCTCTCTACATGTCACCATGGGGCTCAGACTCACAACCCTGAGACCAAGAGTTACATGCTCTTCGAGCTGAGCCAGCCAGGCGCCCCTAGGACTTTTTCCCCCTCAATTATTTGAGGTTTCTTGAGGCTACATTATGATCAATGACTTTATAACTTCATGTTTGGAATCAGTAGAAAGTACTAGCACTCCTAGTACTTTCATTACATGTGTTTCTTTTGTCAGCCATGCTGCTTTCAGAGAAAGCATCAGTAAGGGTAACCTATTTCATTTAGGTGGGGCTTAGTCATATGTGTATACCCTGGGAAAGCTAGGATGATAATGTTAAGATCAATATAATATAAATCTAAGAGCATGGGGAGTGAGAGGGAATAGATCTAAAACTGTTATCTAAATTGCCATGTTTTCTGTGGTCACAGGCATGTCTCTGGATTCATTGGTATCATTGAGAGCCTTTGTGGGTTAATACAGGAAATGATTATTCTATCAGATAGTTGATCAAGAAACAGAGGAGGTCATTACATTGAGAGAATGAGATTTTCATGTGATGGCATATGTGGTAGAGAAAATGGATGGTGAATGATGGTCTCTCCCTCTTTGAAAGGTAATAGTTGTATATCATGGATGAATAAAAATTATTCTTATTTTGGAAACTGAAAAGTTATACAGGACATTTTAATCAGCAGAACCAAGGTATGGGTGCCTGGGTGGCTCGGTATGTTGAGTGACTTGATTTTGGTTCAGGGTCGTGTGATCAATCTCTGTTGGGCTCTCTGCTGAGCTTGGATCCTTCTTAAAATTCTCTCTCTCATCAAGAGCAAAAATAAACTGTTGGGACCTCATAAAGATTAAAAGCTTCTGCACAGCCAAGGAAACAACCCAGAAAATTAATAGGCAACCAACAGAATGGGAAAAGATAGTTGCAAATGACATATCAGATAAAGGGTTAATATCCAGACTCTATAAGGAACTCACCAAACTACACGCCCGAAAAACAAACAACCCAGTGAAGAAATGGGCAGAAGACATGAACAGACACTTCTCCAAAGAGGACATCCAGATGGCCAACAGACACATGAAACGATGCTCAGCATCCCTCCTCATCAGGGAAATACAAATCAAAACCACACTGAGATACCACCTCACGCCAGTCAGAGTGGCTAAAATGAGCAAATCAGAGAACTCGAGATGCTGGCGAGGATGTGGAGAAACGGGCACCCTCCTACACTGTTGGTGGGAATGTAAACTGGTACAGCCCCTCTGGAAAACAGTGTGGAGGTTCCTCAGGAAACTAACAATAGAACTCCCTTATGACCCAGCAATAGCACTGCTAGGAATTTACCCAAGGGATACAGAAATGCTGAGGCATAGGAGCACATGTACCCCAATGTTCATAGCAGCACTCTCCACAATAGCTAAGACATGGAAAGAGCCTAAGTGTCCATCAACAGACGAATGGATCAAGAAGATGTGGTTTATCTATACCATGGAATACTACATGGCAATGAGAAACAATGAAATCTGGCCATGTGTAGCAACATGGATGGACCTTGAGGGTGTTATGCTGAGCGAAATAAGTCAGGCAGAGAAGGACAAATATCATATGTTTGCACGTATAGGAGGATTAGGAGGAACTTGACGGAGGAACAAGGGGGAGAAGAAGGGCGGAAATGGTGGGGGAAAGGGAGAGAGGCAAACCATGAGAGACTCTTGAATGCTGACAAAAACTGAGGACTGATGGATGTGGGGGGGAGGGGGGGATGGGCATGGAGGAGGGCACTTTGGGGATGAGCACTGAGTGTTATGTAGAAACTAATTTGACAATAAACTATTTGTAAAAAAAAAAAAAATTCTCTCTCTCTTTGCCCCTCTTGCCTACTTGTGCCCTCTCTAAAAATAAAACAAAAACAAACCCAAAAGTAGTATGCTTGTGAAGGATTCAGATTTGACCACTGAAATTACATTTTGATACCACTGGATTTAGAATACCCTATTTCTCTCTCTCTCTCTCTCTCTCTCTCTCTCTCTCTAATGCTTATTATTTTTTTAGAGAGGAGAGACAGAGCACAAGCAGGGGAGGGCTAGAGAGAAGGAGATGGAGAATCCTAAGCAGGCTCCAGGCTCTGAGCTGTCAGCACAGAGCATGATGCAGGGCTCAGACCTACGAACAGTGAGATTATGACCTGAGCTGATGTTGACACTAAACCAATTGGGCCACCCAGGTGCCCCAGGATACCCTAGTTCTCATATCTAAGTACTAAGATATAAGCCTTTGTGTAACCCTAAATGAATCATGTGACTGTTATTCGCCTATGTGCATCCCACTTCTTTGGGGCATTTCATAATGAACATTAATAATACATCTTTTGGCTGTCTAGGTTGAATGTCATCCATAACAATTTTTTTTCCATGTTAGATTCAAACGTGCAGTTTAGGAAATATATATTCATAAGGTGAATTTGAGAGTTACACACTTTATACTATAGCTCAGATTATTTTTGTGGCTGTAATGAAAATGCCATAGCAATGCAGTGTCAAACTCTCACCCTCTAAAACCTGCTTCCCCATCCATGAATACACTCCATATGATTATATTTCTACATGCCTTTTGTGCTGAAATGAGACCCATGTGTTGCACTGTTAAATTAAATGAAAAATAGAAAAGTAGTTGGCAGGGGCGCCTGGGTGGCTTAGTCAGTTAAGCGTCCGACTTTCACTTAGGTCATGATCTTGCGGTTTGTGGGTTCGAGCCCCGCGTCGGGCTCTGTGCTGACTGCCAGCTCAGAGCCTGGAGCCTGTTTCAGTCTGTGACTCCCTCTCTCTCTGACCCTCCCCTGCTCAGGCTGTCTGTCTCTCTCTCTCTCCTAGAAATAAATAAAACATTTTAAAAAATATTTAAAAAAAAGAAAAGAAAAGTAGTGGGCACATGGAAAGTATTGGGAAATAAAAGAAAATTTCAGCAGTTAGGGTAAAGATACCATAAGAAGCCAAAAATAAGAAGATACCGTAATAAGTAAGGATAAAGTAACACAATCTAGATTTTGCGCTGGAATGCTCAGGGAAATAATTTGAAAATATAAATGTTCATGAGTTTGCTGTCAAGAATGAACATGGACAATGGGAATCTTGTTTGATAACTAGAAATCTCACGTATTTACCCTCTAAAACGTTTTCTGTTCATCTGCATTGGTGCTTACTGCACGGAAACAGGTTGTCAGATGTCCAGAATGAGAACTCCCTACACTCAAGTGTTAGGAGAATGTTGATTACATAAAGATGCTTTCTCGGGAGAGCAGGGGAGACTTCTCAAGTCCTGGAAATGGCTAGAGAAAGCAGGGGAGGGGATTCCTTTGTTATGAGGCACAGTGTGTGGGGCCAGGGTGGTAGTACTCATTGACACTGTGAACTTAAAACTACTGTTGAGGGAAGGGCCTCCAGAGCTCCCTTATTAGCTTTCCCTGCCCAGATGGGCTGAATAGTAAGAGGTTGTAATGATGCTTCACAGGTATCATTAGTTGGGTATCAAAAGTAGAGTCAGACTCAAAACTGAATGTTTACTCTGACTGACTTGGTTGGGAAAGACCACAGTCTTCCTCATGCTAACTACTACCTTCTCTTTCCTGATACACACATAGGACCCACTGCACAATATGATTGTGGACACTGGCTATAAATTACTGTTTAGCTAAATTACCAAAGATATTTTTAGACCATGCCACGATTCTTATTCTGTTAAATTATAGTCTAATATTAACTCAGAAGTGATAGAAATTTTCCCAACTACAAACCTTTTGTAGATCTCTCATTTTAAGGGAGAATGGAATGAATGGAATCTCAAAACCAGTCCTTCCAATTTTCTACCAAGACACTAGAATCAGGGAGTGCCTGGGTGGCTCAGTCAGGCTTCAAACTCTTGATTCTGTCTCAGGTCATGATCTCATGGTTCGTGGGACTGAGCCCCCAGGTCAGGCTCCACACTGAGCTTGGAAAAATAAACTTTTAAAAAGATTTTTAAGATGGCACTAGAATTAGAATATCTGTATTGAAACTTTGCAAATTAGCTTTAGGCTCAGGTAGATAAAATTAACTGTAACACATTTCAAAGGAAATAAATCTATAAATTAGAAGACACTAAAGTTGAGTAATTTTGACACATTTGTAACACCTATCAGACTGGTCAT